TAAAACGACGTTTCGGAGATAGGGATTAGCTCTATCTAGTGGGCCCAACTGAGTAGGAACCTGAAGACGGAGATAGAGTCCCATCTCCGAAACGTCGTTTTACGTTTTATATTTACTAGACGATGGATAATATCCAAGAAAAATTTTATTCAATTGACTCTTCACCATCGTCAAGAAGTTTTAGATTTGATAAAATGTATAAAATAGTTTAAAGGAGATTGCTATAGAAATAAAAGATAAAATTCTGTGCGTGTGTGTGTGCACGGGGACTCGCTTACCAGAATGCAACATTAAATCGTAATATAAAGATAATTAAGCAACCTACTGCCAGTGTAACACAACATACTTAACAGCACAACGGAACTGTTCACAGTTTAAGATCACCACATGCACCAAGACATCAGCATACAATACGGTAATTATATGAACTCAATCTGTATAATAAGAGGTCTTTCGAGAGAAAAAAACACGTACTTCACCATCTTGGTAGGGATAGAAAGAAAGAAGCAACATTACAGTAGTGCTAAATATACTTAAATTAAAATACATCTTAGCACATAAAACGTGTAATAAGAAACAAAATAAAAAATAGCCCATATATACGGACATAACTTAAACAGCACGGCCATAGCATTAATTTTAATATGTAATGTTAACCTTGGATATATTTGTTTCATATACTTTTTAAAATATTTAATATTTATAATATTTGAGAGTCCATTAAAATATTGACATAGCGTATGTCGTATAAAAATGTTATGACGTCATGAGAATTGATGAAAAATGTAACCGAATATCAAATTGTGTATTTCAAAATAATGAGTTGTGTTTGGCGGATAATAATAGAATACCTAGCTGTATTATTCGGGAGCTAATTCAATCGAATTCTGGTTCACTTTCCGTCTACGAGAGAAAATCGATGTCTATCAGCAAGCGTAATAAATATACAAAGACGACAATGTGATAAGCAAAATGGTAAGAGACAGTTATTTCAGCCTACGCAACATCAAACTAGACGTTGTGTCATTGGCAAAACCTTAATACGTAAGATGTCGTCATTAATTGAATGCACAGCGCATTCAGATTTTAAGCAGGCCTACATTTACAGAATCAGTTAAATTAACTCAGGATCGTTCGGCCTACGACCTGTGTTCGAACTATCAAAGTTAATTAACGCGGGTTTCGTTCTGGTTACGTTGAACATTTGGATTCTGTTATTGGACAGTGTCATACGAATATGCCAGTCGCTAGCTAAATTTGGTATAAGTAGCCTTCAATTTTCGGATTCTCTTACAAAAGAGTTGATTCAACTGACTAAGAACAGCTATGACAGGTGAGTTTTATTGTAGCTACTATAGTGGTATTGAATCGTCGGATAAATTGCCAGAGACTGATTTAAAAATTCGTAACAATTTACATTTCTGACGGCGATGAAGATGATATTGTGACGCAAACCAACGTTCTAGAGAAACATACCGTAACCATCTTCAGGATTGACAGTTTCTGAAGATGGAGACAAAGTCTGGATGATATTAACACAGAATGATTTTTGATCGGGTAGTGTCCAGCAGCGAGTTCTGATATTAGCATAGATGAGTTAAGATTTATCGTCAAAGTCGGTTAATTACTTAGATGCAGTACTAACATAATTATTTAACTCCTTTATTATTAACGATTCTCTTAGAAGGCTGTACACTCCTATACGACGTGTATAATTAAGGACACTCACCCGCTTCCATGAGAAAGTGTAGGCCACGTCCATGAGGCAGAAGTCGTCTCTGAGACACTCCCCGGCGTAGATGATGTCAACCCGATGCTCCGACCTCAGACCGTACTTCATGCGGATGAACTTCTTAAGGTGATTCATGCTGACGGCAGCGGGGCACTGCAGGTAACGTCTGTGTGGAATCTGCAAGGATAACAGGCGGCCTTATGAACAACACGGGGGGAGGGGCGGGAGGTGTTTGTCTGTCCGTCCCAGCTTCCGCATATTTCGTCTCCCACTCGGACGAACTTTTGTGATGGAAATATACATGACGGCGAATTTAATTTTCCTTCGCATCGGAATAGTGCAACACCCACTTTAGGATGGAGGTCAAATCTAACTTTATCTCAATTATACCATCAGAGGAAACGTGGAAATTCTGTCTTATGAGTGCTACCACCTCAAAATTCAGTTTCGTGGCCAAACCTGCAGAGGACAAAGTAATAATGGGCCTATTTGTCTTTTAACGAGAAAAATATACTAATCCATGGGACAAGGGAACAGACATTGCTGCGACAGCAACGCCCACCACCTCTGAAACGCCGGTCAACATCTAGCAGACTACACGGTACAAAATCTCGAAAGACAGCCATCTTCATACTCTGTATGATTTGAGGTTTTCCGGTGAGTATGAAGATTTCTGTCTTCTGGGTTGTTGCGCTGTGTAGTCTGGTCGATGTTTACTAACGTTTCAGAGGTCATACTGCCTCCATCATCCATCTACCAGGCTACATAGCGCAACAACCCAGAAGACAGAAATCTTCATCTTGGTACTCGTTGCCGTGAGAACTTAAATGCTCACCTTCCGAGGCCGCGTTTGACAATGAGTGGAAAACAGACTTTATTAGTCAAGTGTTTAAATCCTGTCCACTGCACAGTTGTACCCCTGCACTGTCATGGGGTCGAAACAGAATAGGGTCGGGTTGAGAGGGGGATGCACCCTACTAGATCAGAGGGAGGATCGCTTTACAAATGTGTAGGGCCACTCCCGTCCGTAAAAGAGAGATTAATGAGGGGGGGGGGATAACTGCTTTGAAAATCAGCTAATCTCTACTAATTACAGTAACCTTTCTGATCAGCACTCGCAGTTTACGCCAGGACTATTTCACATACGTTAAGCGCACTTTTAAATACACTGCCATACATAGGTATGTTAATTAAGTGATAGTTCTTATTTGCAGAAATGACATCTCAAAATGAGACACGCGTTATACCAATATTTGTTGGACACTGCCAACTGTTTGAGACATATCTAACATACGCTGACGTTTTGGAAACGGACTCTACTCCGCCCTTAATCCGATTGTCATATTCTGACGGATTTCTTGTATTTTTGAATAGCAGAGGCGGTTCAAATCGAACTCACGACCTTTCAAACACTAGGTTTTTGCTAAACACTTGACCATGAGCGGTCAGTAAGTAAACAGCGGTCAATTTTCACCAAACTACACGGTGCAACACACCAGAAGCCATTCATATTTTTGCTCGTCGCCGTTAGAACCTGAAATCTCAACTGCTGGTGTAATTTCATATAACAGTTCAACATCGTTACATTTTTTATTCTTCTCAATTCAGCATTGAAAAATATCCGGTTATTTGATGCTATAGGTGACCTATGTAGACAAAACACCGTGGTTAAATTAACACACACCGAATATTTCCGACAGAATCTAAAATAAAAATTAAAAGGTGAATATATCGACTTAACAAAATAGTTAAAATATTTAACAACGTTTAGAAAATTTGCGTGGAATGAGACTGGAAGATTATCGCAAATGTGAGTAAAATGTGGAACGAAATGGACATTGTCCAGCACAAGGTTGTACCGACGATCGTCTGGAGACAGTTTCGGCTACTTCAAGAAAATTCAGTGCGGATAGCCGGAAAACAAGCCGAGACTCGAACCGGATTCCTCCTCAGTGCAAGTCTGTAGCGTTGCCGGTACAAAAACCTGCTCCATCACAGAATAAAGAATTATCAAACAAAGAAAGCAGAAGAGGAGAAGGAAGGTATCGCACGGCACACAAAAGGCAGAAAGAAAGAGAAATAAAGCAAATTAATTGCTAGGGATTACTCAGGGAAGTGTTTCTGCTTTTCTTTACCACAAATTCTCCGAATATTTGGTACGATGCCAGCTGGATTCTCGTGGTAGAACAGAATTCTTGTACCTTATTTTATAGCAAAGTGTCGTGAAAATAAAGTTTCACAGAAGCAAGATGTACGCTGAGCACAAAAGAATTCCACTCCGTACTCAAAATTTCGCGGATTAAAAGATCGTTTGATTAAGAGTACATATTTTAAATCAGCATAACGATTAAATCGGACTACATTGCTCTGGTTTCAGGTCTGTTACAATAAAACCTAAATGTTGGTAGACAGAGGTAAACAGTGGAATCTTTTCTACCCTTATTTAATCACGTCATGGAGACGGATGTAAATTTCACATATCAAAATCCCGCACTAGATTAAGGAAAGTGGTCAGCTTCACGCCTCCGGCCGCTTAACCCCCAGGAAATTTCGTTGGACTTCGGAGTCCGTGCGGACGTGGTGGCGAAAGTAAACACGTGCCCTTGCCGAGAATCTAACCCCGGTCATCCAACCCGTAGCCAGTCACTGGACCTATATTGATTTATTTCTCCTGGCTCTTAACGGATAGCCCATAGATACGTTAATCCAAAACGTGAAACTAAACGACAATGTGACAGAAGTATCACGATGCAGACTGACGGAAACGAATTTACGAAAGGAGAGAAATATTGACATACGTACACCTGGTAAAGGAGGAGAGCAATCGAAACAGAATCCTGATAAAAATACAGGAACCCTAGTTTAAGATTGCTGTCTTATCACATGTTGCACTGTGTAACCTGGTAGAAGTTTACCGACGTTTCAGAGGTGCTTACTGCATCCACTATCAGGGCGCTTACAGCCGAGAGAAAAACTTCAGGTCCTCTATATTTCGCTGACTAACTTCAACAATGCAGAGCCATGAACAATGTCCCAATCAAATCAACGACATCTTTACAGCATGAATACCTGACAATGCTAACCTGCACACACCACCAGTTCCAACTCTCAATAACGCTACATTTTACCCATAGTGTGTATTTACGTCTTTCGTAATTCTCATACTAATCAGCTATTGTTTCGACTGATTTTTATAATGAAGACAAGTTGAGGTAGACAGGAATTGAATTAAATATTTGTAAACGAGTTTTGCGCTACAAAGGCTTAAGAAGGATTTTTTTTTAGTGTTCTATCTGACGACAGGTCAGGTCCATATGAACAGGATCCTTCCATCCTTTTCTCGGACTGGGACCTGTTCATATACGTTCTTGGCAGATGATCCAGAAGTGGTTTGCCATTGCCTTCTTCTGTGTGTGAATGGAGTAATTGTTGGGATGCCACGGAAAACCGGGGAAGCCCCCGGAGGAAAACTCCGTGTTGCCTAGACCACGGCCTTGCCCAACACAAGTTATAAATTCGGGCACCGCCGGGAATCGAACCCGAGACCCCAGGATTACAAGGCCAGTGTTCTAACCGCTAGACCACCGTGGCTGCTAAGAAGGAATATCCATTATCTAAAGGTTCATATCATTTAGTTATATCTAACAATTGTTTGTCTTTAAAAACTACTGTCACTGATTTAATAATATTTTCATATCAAATTTATCCACTGTAAATTTAAGCGAGTCTGTTGCATAATATTAAATTACTTATTTTCAGTTTTATCATCTTAATGGGACCCACAAAATTCGCAATGAAATGAGGTATCTAACAAGAATCTCTAGACTTTGTCACGACTGGGCCACTCGTCAATAAATTCTGTCTGAGGGCTGAAATCAAAATATTTTAATTAGGCCTATAGATGCAGAATATAAAGGGGTAGGAATTTTCGTTTTAAGCCATAAAATAAAGCAAATAAATTAAGATTCTTTCGACAAGATGGTCGAACTTTTATTTCTTCTTTCAAAATCGTAAAAGGCTTGTAAAAACTACTATTAGCCTATATACTGCAGAGCAAACCAGGCGCATTTGTAGGCGTTACATTTAAAAAGAAGAAGAAAAGAGTCCCGGATAAACATACACTAAACACTGCTCCACTAGCCTCATCCGGTCCGCAGGCCGCACTCTATTTGTCCTGCTGTAACCTATCCCATGCACTTGCAGCGAGAACCACCATAGTTTATGAAGCAACTTACCTGTTTGTGTTTTTCGATTTCGTTTTCTGTTTCATTCTCCCCTTCTTCCTCGTCACCCTTGTCGCTGTAAGAAAATACAAATAAATACAAAAATAAAAATCTCAAGAAGCTACTGTACGCGTGAGTTACGTCCCTGTGACGTATGCGCCCTGAGAAGTCACGTGCTGCACTACTAGCAGACCAAAAAACGTTGTGCTTGTTCTAATTTTACGTAAACTTTACTGGTGATACTTCGTGGCTTTGTACTAATGAAAATTGTTCTCCACTCAGGAATAAGGGGTTACGCATGCGCACAACATCACTTGCTTACAGGACAGCCGACGTCACAGATATGTATTTAACTCTCGCGTACAGTAAACGCAATCATCACCACGCAGTTGGGAAACTACTGGTGGTCATGTCGTCACTGAAAGAATACGTAATATTTTGTACCAATGCTTTAGATAACAAGGGTCTATTGTAGTTATCGTAATCCTCTTACCACAGAGCAGTCGACCGTATCTGGTTCACAACGGCCATGGTCAGGAAAGGTGGGTATAAGAGGGAGAAACTTTAGGCACGTAAACTACATTCATCCCTTTGCGGTCTCTGTCGGACTGAGTCCGACATTTAAATATCCGAGTTCAGGTCCGTTGTCGGACTGAGTCTGACATTTAAATATCCGAGTTCAGGTCCGTTGTCGGACTGAGTCTGACATTTAAATATCCGAGTTCAGGTCCGTTGTCGGACTGAGTCTGACATTTAAATATCCGAGTTCAGGTCCGTTGTCGGACTGAGTCTGACATTTAAATATCCGAGTTCAGGTCCGTTGTCGGACTGAGTCTGACATTTAAATATCCGAGTTCAGGTCCGTTGTCGGACTGAGTCTGACATTTAAATATCCGAGTTCAGGTCCTATGTCAGACTGAGTCCGCCACGTATTTTACGAATTTTTTACGTGATCTGGAGTCAAACTGAGGTTGGCAAACAATGTCAGCATATCATTCAAGTCTTCTTCTTTGCACTAGTTCTATCCTAGTAAGTCTTTGCGTACCTGATAACAGTGAAAGGAGGCAGGAGAGAAACATCGTCTTATTCTGACATGAGTCTAAAGGAAGCCAGGACTCCACACCAAGTGTTTGGCCATACATCATATAGTGAAGGAATACCATCGTGTATTTAGCTGTCATATTTACTTAGAATATAAATAATTTATAGTTATAAAACAAATATCCCATCTTCCTAGTAGGAAGTTTTATATATTTAATTGTATTTGACGCATAGAGCAATCCACCGCTGATATATGCATATTCATTCGTCTTCTTATCAAGCATTCTTTATGTGTAGTGACCTCATCGTTTACACTTCGCGTTCCCTTTCAAATTTATGGTGCTGAACTTCGTCTTGAACTTTCGAACACAATCAGCGAGAAGGGAAGCATAGCTCTGAGAACACGAAATCTAATGCTTATACATCGTACATCTTCATGCAATAAGAGATGTTTAGACTTCGCCAAAGTCTTATCTATCGGCTTGGACTTTGTTTAGTCTCTACCGAACGACAGGAAGCAGAAAGGCACCACTTATTACGGATCTCACTAGCGACAGTGGTATAGTCCGTGAAAAATATTTCACACGGTCAGTATTCAAACAAAAGGAACTATGATCCTCTCAGAACATATTTTCACCATATTTAGCAAAGTGTCTTCCGTTTTATGCAAGTTTAAAAGAAAATCACTAAAGTTCATAATAGTAGTTGAATGTATACAGCTTAGTGGCATTAAAATAGACCAGCAGAGAGTCGTAGAGGAATTTAAAAGGGACCGCAAAGGGTTAAAGAATATCCAAATCTCCCTATTGGCGTGGCACATTTTAGTTACGAAGAAGATTACACGTAATAGGTCTATACAGGTGCTATAATGATTAATAAATTTCGGTCAGTAAGTATTTCGCGTAGACCTCATGGCATTATTTCCCACTTCCTACAAAGACTTCACTTTTATTAAGTGATAGAACCTGACCACTTTCAAATACCCACTACCTAGTCTATAAACAAGTTTTAAGATCCTACAGTTAATGACGCTTCAATGTTCCCACGTCACAAATTTATCCAGCCCCATTTTAGCATTCTTTGTGATACAAGTTCAAAAAGTGATATCCTACGTCTGGCACGACGTTCACACAAACAAATCCTCAGTAATACGGGAAGCGTAATATTGTAAGGACGATATGCTCATTGCTGCGTGCATCCACTCACGAGGAGCCGATGTCAGCCGAGGCCGTACGAAGAATTCTGCTTATGCAAAACATTTTAATTTGTTGATCGCGCATAATTAAAACCGTGGTCGGCAAGAGACTGACGAACAACTATCACTTAACAATGCGTTTTGAACAACAACTAAACCTATGAAAAGTACACGATCACTGAAATCATTCTTAGTTTCGCGAAAATTCCTTACAAGAACAATTCGTTATTTCTTTTTCGCCTTCGAGGATTTCGATCTTCAAACTATTCAGACCCGAAATTAGTCTGATTCTGGACTTCTGGAAAGACTCCCGGAGCGGGGTATCGGTAAAGCTTCCTTTAATTTGAAGGTAGCGTAATTAGATCAATGTCTCTCAAACTCTTTCACGTAAAGGCATACTAAAATATAATTCACCATCTGCCAGCATTCAAATCACTTAGCCTGTTTCTGTAAACATATATGGCACGTCTGTCTGAGTACTTATGATAATCATAATATTATTCTTCGTTATACGCTTTACCTAGAAATAAGAAGACACTTACAATTCAGATATTCCTACGCAAATGTTACCTATTATCAACACTTTTATAAGTATCACACAAGACGCGTAACAAAAAATGTTAAGATTAGTTATGCATCAGAAATGACGGTAGCGCTACAACGGAACGTGTCTATAAATATCGAGGCAGCAAACAATTTAAGAGCAACACAGCAGATGAGATGACAAAACATGGTAATAAAAAAGGTCCCAATGAAATTATCAGACTTTGAGGCGTATTTTAAGTGTATAGAAAAAATAGGTCTACGGTTACCTGAGACAACGTGCCTGCTTTCAAATGTTAATAAGTTCGTAAAAAGATAAGGTAAACATATACTAAGTTCACATACATATGTATTTATTATAATTAACAGTAGGCCTATGTACTAATTGAAAGAGAAATAATCGATGGGTCAATGACTCGACTAGAAGTTGGAGATTCTGGTTTTCGCTTCAGTGAAAATTAAATACGCACATAGATTACTTGCAGAAAAATGGGTGCTAATTTGTATGTGTGTTAAAGCGATAATTCGTTAAACGAGCGTTCGTAAAGCGACGAATTGGTGTAGTTCCAACTTACATTGTGCGTTAAGTGTAAAGGTAAAAGTTAAAGTTGTATTATTTGAGCTTTTTACGGCGTTGAGTCCACATGGCTGTCTTCTGGGTTGTTGGACCGTGTAGTCTGGTAGAAGTTTACCGACGTTTCAGAGGTCTATGCTGCCTCCATCATCAGAGCGATCGCCCTGATGATGGAGGCAGCATCTTCAAAGTTAAATTTGTCCTTGTGACGAAGCATCACTCTATGGAGGTGTACTAGGCGCGTGGAGCATACAAGTTTTACCATGGCACTAGATGGAGATGGTCAGGGTCATACTCCGATTTTTTCTCCGATTGAAGCACTGAGTAATTTTACGTCACTTATAAACCGCCATCAGCTTCCAGGAGGAGGCCTTATGGCCCGTTTCGTCCGGGTGTTAGCATAGGCCTATCACTGTTTTACCTATATGGCCAGATACCCCACAGAACATTTTCTCTGAATCGCGGCATCGTGTAACATCAGATTTTCGCGACAGCCTATGTTGGAATGGCTGCCACCGAGTCCGCAAAAATATTTTATATGTTTCATTAATTCCCGTGAAATTTTCATCGCTTATATCCCTTGAATCACATTATATATTGCATGCAGAGAAAAGCTTCAAGTACACTTTTATTGATTTAATTTTCTGTCTATATGAGTGCGGGCTTTCACGATACGCAGATACCTTGTTAATATATTCTTTCCTACTCGAGAACCATTTATTAACATTTGTTCGTTGTAAAATGTAAACGAGATTATGTCTAAGGGTTAGAAATGACAAGATAAACACCACAAACAACATCAATGAATTTATGATGTAGACTAATTTTTCCTTCCGTTTATATGGACATCCATGTTGAACCCCATATTATCCTTTGGACTCCTAAAACACACCACGTCAATAACAAACGCTTCTTCAATACATAGTCGCAAACTGAGTTGGCATTGTAACGAGATGCGGTCTCAAAATCAATGGGCCACAGCGTGCGATACAATAACAAGAAAGTCGCTGTCAACAGAAACGTTTAAAATAATTTTCACGCGCAGGTATGTTGGTATCGTACTTTAATGGTGTAGCAGGTAGGGCTACCAAAAAGACACAAACCAAGCTTTGATTCCACGACTCTTAAGATTAATTTCTTTGATGACTGTTCCTCTTTTCATTCATTTCTGCATTTTCCTTCGTTGCGTCATTTTATTTTCCTGTGTCCTTTCTTTCCAAAACATTGTAGATTATAAAACTATACGAATATTACGTGTTACAAATGCTTCTATTACCTGGAATAGTAGGCCTAATAAAATATGCAAGGAAAATCCTTCAGAATGCTAAAATATATCAAGTCATCAGCGAATGATTTTAACCTATTTTCCCTTCTCGCGCCGAACTTCCGGAATGACTGCTTGCACTCCAGAGACTTCATGCCCACTTAACAGACGCGGTGATACGTGATCCATAATAACTGGCCGTAAAGACACGGAATAAAATCAGTAACGAACAATAACTAACATTCCCTGTCAGATCAATGGGAGGTGATTTTCTTTCTAAATGCCACCAAAAAGAACTCGGCTCTGTCCAACCACTTCCTCCACTTTGTATTCTCAAAGCCGGAATTGGATCGCGGACCACCAATTGTGTGGAAGGTTTGATTACAAACATCTTTTTATTCTTCCCATCGGGACTTCTCTGCTGTCTTTCTAGTTTATTTGTTTCCCATTTGTTCCCTTTGCTCATTGTTCCTCTCTCACTCTCTATTCATCGTTCCCCTCCATTCCCTATTCCCATCTACGTTTGTTGCCATGGATACAGCTTGCATAAGGGGTTAACTTCATATATGCGTTATACACACACAGTGGAAAACATTTCCCCACTAACGCCGTAGGAAACCAGGCGACAGAGTCAACATTTTAGTTTAAACATGGATAATACATCTCCTACATGTGGGGTGGGATTTATGAATTCCCTCATGAAAGTACGTATTTGCGCCACACATTTATACAAACGACTACCTCGCTTGGTGCTGGGGGGACCTAGAAAGGCCTAGCAGGTTGGCGTGGTCATTCCTCTACAAGCGAGCCTAATCGGGAGACAATTCATACGTACCGAAGTGTAGTCTGGAACACTTCTCTGAAACGTCGGTCAGGATCTACCGGATTATATAGCGCAAAATCTCAGACAAAATCATCTTCAAAATTGTCACCGTGAGAACTTAAAATCTCACCAAACCATCCACTGATCAATCAGTAGAATCTCTCTTCTGAGATACCGGCTATCCTGACTGAGTCTATCAAGGTCTTCCTCGGTCTCTTCTGAAGACTGCCCGCCATTACCACTTCCTTCCAAAACCGTAACCTCAAAGTTTAATGAATTTTGTTACGCAGTGGCGCACGCTAATAAAAAGCTCTTGGTATGGTAATGTACCATTACAATGCATATTGTGCATTAACCGACTGGAAGGCAATTGCTTGGCTGATTGTGTGCAGCGTATGTAGAAACGTTGTAACCAAGTACAGTCACGTTCATAAATAAGTATGTGGAATGAGTCACAGGTCGATGTAAAAGAAATGAACGAGGATCACTAGTTATAACACCTGCCGTAATACGATATAATGACAAACGGTTTCACGTAAGAGTGTATAATAGTCGCGTGGAACTGCGTAATATAAAAGAACAGAACGCACTGCAAAACTCTACAGAAGACATAAATGAGATCACAATATTAAATCGCATCTTAAATAAATTGGGTTGATGACGTGGACTGGATTCATCTGGCTGGAACATGTGTTCCTGAAGGACTCCAATCCATGGAGTCGAAAAGTCATTAAAAATCTACAATTTTAACTCAAGAGTTATGCCACGATCTGAGGCAATCTTTTTAACCAGAACATCAAATCCTGAATCTTGAAGAACAAAGGTCAAATGTGACGATTACCAACTATATTCCGCGAAAAGATTGGCGTATTTACGGGGGTGGTCACGTGTCTTCCACATCTCACTCACTCACTCACTCACAACGTCTGTGAAGTCTTTGTGTAGACGTACTTGCTATGGGAAGCCGAGCTCCACATCAATAGATGAATTTGCGTTATATGTATTAAGAAATGCAATTCCTGTTCAGAGATCGTGCAGAATAGACACTCAAAATATGCTTCAACTCCAAAATAAGCTACTGCGAAAAACCGCGAGGCATTCAGATCATTTTTCTTTTCTTTCTTTCAGGATTTGAATTTCATTACGACAAACAGCCTGAAAAAACACATCTCGGTTAAAATTATAAACCGAATACAAGAACAGTTCCTGCCTAAACGCCCATAAATACCAGTAATCACGATGTCAGCCAGAGTTCAATACGTATAGACATTTGTTGACCCAGATTCGAACCTCGTACATCCTGAACAGGGCCACGTGTCGGACCCGTCAGTACTATCCTCACTTGCACTGACATTAGGTTTCGAGTTCCTGATAAAATACCATCATACATTTAAGGCGTGCTTTATAAATGGAAGCAGATAATCCTAAACTAAGGACGAGAGCAAAACAGTTTGCTATGCGATGTGCTGAGCTAGTTATTGAGATGGGGAAGCCAGAAACATAATTTATAATTTTGGCTCAGGAACGTTTTGGAAAGAGGCTGTATAGATTGTAAAGGAGCTGAGAGGATAATACTAAGATACATTTTTTTCAGAAATGGATCGTACCAAACGTCACGGTGTAGTGACTCAATACTCGTGTTTCATATTCGCATCATCGCCTACGAAGTGCGTTAAGCATTATTAAACATATCAACCGAAGATGTGAACTGGACAGGACAGAATTTTGTCGAATGGTAATGGACTAAGGTGAGGTCTGAGGTTCTCACGGGAGTGAGGATGGAGATGATCTTCTGGGTGATGCGGTGCAGACTCGTAGACACCAAAATGCAGGCTGTACTTCTTCTGAATCAATTTCTCAGCACTACCGCTTCAGCCCTGAAGATGTAGGCAGTATGTTTCTCCGAAACTATGGTATCTACCTAATAATCTACACGGCGTCACACTCCAGAAGAACATTGTCAACGGTGTCGGGTTCTGCGATCACCTGTCACCAACCTGTCATAATACTCGAGTGATAGACTGATGCTGTCCTCGGGCGAGAAGAAGCTAGGGTCCACTTGCAGGTCGCAGGTGGTCCCACTGCCCGCGTTGAACTCCCTTCTGCGCTGCATTTCAGATTGGAACAGACCCGGCACCAGCTTGTAGGCCAGAGTCTGCAGAGTCCCGTCCGACCTGCAGGTAACGTCTCACAGTTGAAAAACGACAATTGGACAGGATATTCAGTTTGGGGGGGGGGCCGCCCCCCCCCCCCCCCCCCAAAAAAAAAAAAATGTTTTTACCGGAAGTAAATATTACCAGTGTAAGTCGAGTTGCCAGATCGTATTCACATTGGATTCTATGGTTTTACTGCGCAATGCTTGATATTATGCTTGCTAATACTCAATGTTTCTTTCGTCTTTTTCCCCTTTCAGCTGTCTTTTACTTTCTGTGGTGCAGTATATTCTTTCTTTGTTCCTTTTCTGTTCCTTGCACTAGTCTCGTTATTGTTAACTTTACAATTTATATTTTGCGAATGAGTAGCGCTTGTGGTAAGAACACCATTTTGGCGATGTTTTGAAAAATTCGTCAACAGAAAGCCACACTGATGTACAAAGAATCGCGAATAAACTACAGCAAATCTGATGATACAAATATTAGCCCTTTATCAACTAACTTGCAGACAATTCGGTTTAGCAGATGGGAACACAGGTTCCAAAAATCCGGGACCATGGGATTTTCCCCACAGTTTTAAATGCACTGGCCACACTGCACGCACGCACGCGCGCGCACACACACACACACAAGAACGTACTCACTCAAGAGATAAAACACTTCATTTAAAAACAACGAAAATAATGCAATGAATGAACGACTGAACAGAGGTACACAGGAAACGTAGACACCACAGTAAAATTATGACGCAGAAAGAAAGACCGAAAAAGGGAAACATAAGAAAGGGCAAAACACAAACATAGAATCAAGCCAAGCACGGAAGAAAATAGGAATGTTACGCATATTTATTTATTTAGTGTTCTGTCTGACGACAGGTCCATATGAACAGGATCCTTCCCTCCTTTTCTCGGACTGGGACCTGTTCATATACGTTCTTGGCAGATGATCCAGAAGTGGTTTGCCATTGCCTTCTTCTGTGTGTGAATGGGATGCCACGGAGAAACCGGGGAAGCCCCCCGGAGGAAAACTCCGTGTTGCCTAGACCACGGCCTTGCCCAACACAAGTTATAAATTCTGGCACCGCAGGGAATCGAACCCGAGACCCCTGGATTACAGGGCCAGCGTTCTAACCGCTAGACCACCGTGGCTTGTGTTACGCATAATCAGGGATAAATGGAAGGAAGACAGGAAGGTAACAGTCAAAACAATTAAAGACATAAAGTTGCTGATCTGTCTCACCGGATGCTGTGGAGTGGCTTGGCCTTGTGCACCTGAACATCGCAGATAGGACAGAACTTGCTGGCCTCAAGGTGTCGCACGATGCAGCTGCGGCAAACTGCAACAAAGACGCTAGGCTTTATCAACTGCAGTGGCAGATACGATTTATAGGCCTATAACAGCGTGAGACAGGTGGGCGGATGCACAACTTCGGTTTAGAACAGGAAAAGGGCAAACGATTCGTTTCCACAGTGATAATGCCAACCTCAAAAGAAGATGAATGTCTTCTGAGATGTTGCGACGTGTAGGCTTAAAAGTTAAAACGTATTTATAACAGGCTATGATATTTTCTGTTCCCGGGTACAATATGAAAACTTCTGTTCTATTCTTTCCTGACGAGTACGGAAGCCAGTTCGGCAACAGAGCGAGTCGGTCCGATCGCATTCCAATTCGTGTTTCCTTATCAGTGTCACCAAGAAATTCCTGGAATTAAACCTTCAAATACGACGCGACCCTTCAGTTCCAAAACCCCATCTAGTAAACACTCAATATCATATTTCCGACGTATTCAACACTACACCAGCTGAAACAGTGTCGTTAAATAATGCAACAATAAATTATTTGTGATAATGTCACATCGTCGTAAAATAAGTTACGAAAACTGTGTATGTCCCCGAGTGGTCGGTCAGTGGTTTTGAACATTTATATATTTATGCTGCAGTTCACCGCCAATCAATGCACGGGAACGGATTTCTCCTGGCTGTTTCAGGGATGCTGCAGCGCAATACACGAGTGTCACCTCAATAAAGCGTTTCATGACGTCGCATTGACGCAAGAGAGCGCTTTATGTAGAACGTTTAACTGTACAGTTACGCAACTAATGAAACCTCGCAAGACAGTAAGTAAGTTTCAGGGCAGACATGGCTGTCATAACATTCGTTACGCAATCAAGAGCAGATTTCATTTCGGGAAATGCTTCCTAGACTTTCCATAGCTCAGAATCTGTTGTCTTCTCGTGCCCTACGTAAATTCATAGAGATATGTAAAACGATAATTTTACGTCCATACCTTTTTTTGGGGTGGGGTGGGGGGGTGAAACTTCGGCTTTTTCTTTGGGAGTAAAATTAATAGCAAAGTTGCCTGGTGCTTAACTACGCACTACGCCATGGAAACGTATGGGAGAGCAAAGGTATACGAAGCTTAGCTCCGCCCACTCTTAACCTAGACACAAGCAAGCGATGAGAGGAACAGAAAATATTATGAGAGTACCTGAAATATTTTGTCCTGGTATTTTATGACTACGCCAATCCGAACAAGAATCGAGACCCCATATAGCCTCAGTATACTTCCACATTTACACAATTCATTATAACACTCGCTTTCAATTCGGCTTAACTCTGTTTTAATTTGATTTTTGTTAAAAAAAAAGAAGTTATTAAATATCTAATTTACCACAAAACTGCACGAATCAATACGTTTTCTTCAACAGTTCAAAGCACTTTCACAGACATGATGCTACATAATAGGAAATTCTTGAACACATAAAACCATCTCTTGGGTTCAAGACGCAGGTTAGTAAGTTTCAAAACATGTAATGTGTTTACCACCTACTACTACAAGATCTTCTGACATATAAGTTATACGCCTCAAGATGTCCTTTTGACTAAATGAATGCTCAAGATGGATGTGCAACACAAAGTCAGTTAAGATTTCAAGAAACCCAGAACACAGTGAATTGTGCCTTGTTTCAGAATCGTGTCCCAATATTCCTGGAGACATAACTGACCGGTAGCTGAATTACTGAGCTAAGCTGAGCTGAGCTGAGCTGGCAACACGAACATCAGAAATATCTTCCAGCTTACAAAACACCAACATTCATGTCGTAGAAAAATAATTTATCTACATATTTAACGTATCTCTGAAACGTGGTCTCTTCTTTTGAAGCAATAACACGAATTAAATAAATGTGTAAGGAAACTGTGCTCGGGTCAATATTCGAAACGAAAATGAAGTAAAAGACACATTTGGAATAATAAATAGAAAGGAAATTTTTTAATTTGGATCACTTAATCAATTGAATGCGGTTATTACAGACCAGACGTTACAGCTGGACCACGAGGCATAAGAACATAATAAATTTAGAGGTTAATCTTACCGAAAATGACCACTTTGAAGATGGAGAACGAGGGTAGCATCAGGAGTAAACCCTGGAATATAAATGTTAGGAATGGCAGGAGGATATAAGGGGCCCAGGGTCGAGTCTGATTTGCGGGCTTTGATAAGAATGAATAATTCTGGACCTGATTAGATGTTATATTACCCAGAGACTAGACATAAAATTTCCTGACTCGTGAATAGGATAAGAATACAAGACGTCATGTAGTCTCCAGGGAGGAAGTGTAGCATCCTATGAAATCGCGGAACTCATGTAGATCCCTGCAACAGGTTTCTGCTCCCTCAGTCAGTCACACACAACTTCCCCATCAGACACGGCGAATTACAGATTGAGCAAATGGGGCGGCAAAACCTGACCAGATTCCTTTCATTGGCATCTGTAAGGCCCTCAGACCACACCCTGTGCCTGTAGCCTGTATCTGAGATTTACTGATAGATATGAAATGCAGTGATAATCACTTATTCGACTTTGCGATAGCCTATTTACATTCGGATTTGTATTCGAAAGACGACATTACTATTACGTTGTGACTGGGTATAGTATAAAAAGTGGACGCTACATAGGGCTGTATTTTTCAACAGCTCTTTAACAATCAGAGACAAGAAGTACTTTTGTGTGAAACACATTGCGCTTAATTCTAGCATAATGAGTTCTACATGACATCACAGATTTAGATGATTATCAGTTTGTGACCAAGCAAATTTGTTGATTTTACTTCTACTCTGTATCAACCACTGTAGCTTATTTGCATAGACCTACTAGGTACTGAATTGTTTAACTTGCTTTTAAACATTTTTCATGACTCTGAAGATACGGTTTGATAACACGATAGCCTACAGTAGCTTAAGTCTGACTCAGAGATAAGCTATTGCATCATCTGCAAATAGAACAAGCATAGGAACTGACTTAATATTGGGCGGTACTTAATTATTAAACATGCGAAGAGAGTAGACTACGTACGTTGTAAGATGGATGTCTTATGGGTTGTAGCGCCGTGTAGTGTGGTAGAAGTTTACCAACATTTCAGAGGTCCTTGCTGTCTCCACCATCAGGGCGATGACTCAGCAAGACCTCTGAAATGTCGATAAACTTCTACCACACTACACGGCGCTACAACCCATAAGACAGCCATCTTTGGGCTCACAACCGTGAAAACCTCAAATCCTACTAAGTAGATCATAGTACGTCGGCGAACTAGAATTATTGTGAATATCTGAAGATTTAATTTCAACCTTATAATATGATTTAATTCTGTGTAACAATATCGCAATAAAAAAGCTGTTATTAAGTTGATTATATTCGGTTACCTGTTGCTGTCCATTTATAAAATGTTACGATGTGCTACGTAATGTCAAACTATTTAAGCCTTCAGAATAAATCAATGTAAGTAGTGCCTTATCAGGTGACACATTCCAATGTGCAGTGCGAGAAAGGTGCGTCACAACCAATGAATCCAGTCTATCGTTTGAAGACGAAACAGCTGAAGAGACGTCACTTCCAAGACTTCGTGTTCACGTCGCAATCCCATCACCACCCATTCCGAACTACAGCGGAGGGATCGGGCATATTCTTCCACTGCCTTCCAAATAACAAAAACTCGAACAGAATTATTCTATTTCAAAACGAATAAATTCATTCGACTGTAATTTTTTTCAAGCATTCTAATTTATTTCTGTTGTGCTCACCACCAGCTGAGAGCGTGCACTGGTAGGACATGACGGTGGAACCTGAATCAAGCAGCGAAACATGACATCTTGGCCACATTACACTGGGAAATGTAGTTGTGAGCTAATGCAGCAATCCGGTTTGGGACTTGTGATCGTCTCGCCTAGCAAGTCGTAAGCAAAAAATTCGTATCAGCAAGTCCAGTAGGCCTATTTCCTAGACACCACAGAGCCGAACATGTCGAATAGCGGCAGGGCGTATGACTTGTATTCAAAGGAGTATTGCTTCGAATCTTAGTCGGTTTAGCGTGACGTTTCTTCCATTTTTTACCTCAGCAGACACTCTCCAGACAATTACACCTAGACCAATATCACGATAGACTCGCTTTCATTCCTTAGCTACTCATGTTTCACGACCAACTCATCTTATTTGACGCTACGTAACATACAATAGAAACAGAGTCGTCCAAAAAAAAAAAAAAAAAAAAAAAAAAAAACTTTAGATCAATCAACTGTTTCATGACTGCTATAAACTGCGCGAGGTCGGAAAAATATCCATGGACTGTGTTTGAGTATCATTTTGCAACAGAATTGTATGGACGTTTGTGGCATCACACGTGTAAGCCCTGTTACGAGCCGGGAATGAACGGTCGGGTTTCGATTTCCGGCAGACTACCCACCGCAGACTGCAAGTATGCAGGGCTACTTACCTCCACGCCCTCTTACGCTTTCCAGGCGTAGTGTTGGGCACAGAGGCAACTTGACATTCTACTCGAACTACGGATCGCGCGTACTGGACCGACCGAGTGTCATAAGAAGCGTTCGTCTGTCTGTCTCACT